CCCCCCGCCCGCCGCCGCCGCCGCATCCCAATCCCAGCAACGCCTACTACCAACCCGCGCCCTATTATTCTCTCTCAAACACCGCTCGTCCTTTCCCTCCCCCAAACCCCTCGCCTCCGCCGCAAAACCCTAAACTCGCGATCGACCACGCCGACCGCGCCGCCGCCGCCGCCTGTCGTGCCCTTCTCGCTGCCGGTGACTCCGTCTCCGCGTGGAAGGTCTCCCAGAACACGCTCTTGACGCTCCAGGTCGATTCATGGAACTCCTTGGGCATCAAAATGCAGCAAGTTCCCTCGCTTCATCGCCTCATGATCACCGAAGGCAAGGTATTTGTCATAATATCATATCACTCGTGGAGGATTTTATACTGTTATCTATTCACATCATATTACATTGTCGTCTAATCATCGGTGATTATACATGTAATTATGTATGATAAGTCATCTAGAGTCTTGCTTAGGTACAAGCTTAAAAGAACCTTTGGGAGCTTCTCTTTAGAAATATAGAGCTTTTCATGGGAGAGAATCTCGCAAAAGCACTTCTACACTTGTAATTTGACATGTATGATAAGTTTATTAACTTTTACTATGAGTCTGTTTGGATACAAACTTATAAGCGCTTTTGAGAGCTTTTTTATTGAAAAATACTCTTTATTCTCGGTAGAGAAGTTCGCAGAAGCGATTCTAACTTGGAACCAAACATGCTCTATAACTATTATTTTAGAGGTCCTGCCTCGTGTATAAGTTACTACATTTCCATTCTTTGGAACATTTGGTTAAAATTTAATTAATTAATTCAGTAGTTGAATTGAATATTGAATTCTATAAAGAAGTGGGTTATTATGTGTTGGTTGTTGTGCAGGTGAATGCTTTTGTGCATTGCTTTGTTGGGGTCCGGAGGATCACTTCGTTGTATGATTTGGAAGTGGCAATATGCAAGAATGAGGGTGTTGATAACTTTGAAGCACTAGGGTTAGGACCATTTTTGCGGCATCCCTTGGTTATTCATTATTTCTCACTTCGCTCTGATGTCACCCAAGTGTATAAAATAACCAGTGAGGAGATAATTCAGTTGTTGTGTGAGTTGTGGGATGGTTCTAGAAGTAATGAAATCATCAAGGTTGAACAGTTTTTGGAATTTATTGCCATGAAGCGATTGGTTAAATGCAAGGAATGGCTCGGGATTCGGATTCAGAACTTGGGGTATGTTATGTCTTGTTTCTCTTAAGTTTTGGTTGAAGGTCATGTTCATAGTTGGCATTAGAAAGAGGAAGCAAACATAATAGGTTGAAGATGTTTAGGTGATAATAATTTGATTCTAATCTATTTTTTGTCTTGGTTATTGAAATTATTGTATTTCATTACTTCAAACTTTGGGGTTCATATAACCTAATACTAAATAGCCTCTTCAAGTTGCTTCTGGCTGGTCTTGTTGCTTCTTTTCTTGATTTTTTTACTGTTATAATTTTTTTAAGGAATAGCTGTAACACGACTTTGTTGCAATCTAGTTATTAAACAAGAGATATTATTCTTTGTCTATAAGTAGCATTGTTTTGTGGCCTTCTCATGTATTATCTATTTTTCTCATAACGTCTTTGTCAAGAATCATTTTTATATCTATGTTTTCCCATTTGTGAAGACAAAGATGCACATGGACAGTTCACTGTGGCAATATGCGGTGATACTAGCTCACAACATCTACCTTCCCCACCTTCTTAAAACACTTGTGGAGGAGAGAAATAATTGCTTTTATATTGTCTGGGTTTTTGTTCTCTGTTATCTATTTGGATTTAGATAGGTTTTCTTATCCAAATTACTGATTTTATATTCACAGAATGCATATATCTGCCATTCGGGAAGCTAGAAATTCAGAGCAATTAACATTAGAGAAATGCTTGAAGACATTAAATTCGAAAAATGAGAAGTTCAAGAAGCGTCCTATTTCTTCCTCGCAGAAAAAACAGTTAGATGAACGTTTTAATGCCATTACTCAGCGTGTTGAGTCCTTTTCTCCTGTAAAAAAATCCCTTCGTGGAAAGCATGTAAGATTTATGTCATCAAGCTCAGAAGATGTAGATAGTGATTCTTCTACAGATGAACAGAGTAATAACCCATCATCACAATTCACCAAAAATTCAGAACGAGTGAGTAGCTGTCCCTATCCATCTGCAACTGAAGAGATGGCACGACTTGGGGTGAGGAGTGATGTGGTGGAGGACTCCCCTGCTACTAGGAACCTTAAAAATGGATTTAGTGAGCAACCTAGAAAAAAAAGAAAATCCGAAAATGTACCTTCCTCAAATTCTGCTCCTTGTAAGTCGCCTAAGAGAGGCAAATTCAGGTATGTTGAACTCTCACCCCAGAATGATAGCAAACCTGCTCCTTATAAGTTGCGTAAGAGAAACAAATTAAAGGTTGTTGCAACCCCACTCCGGAATGGTAACAAAGTTGATGCAACCCCTACTGAAATGGATAAAGATCTTTCAATTCCTGAGGATTCTTTGCAGATGTTTATCACAACCTGGAAAGAGGCATGTTCAGAGCACAAGGTTGCTGTGGTAGGTGTTCAAGATCTTTCAAATGAGATGATAGTCATGCACTTTTTATTGCAATACTTCTTCCCAACCTCTCCCTGGTGAAAGGTTCATTTTGTCTGTTTGATATAAAATTGCACTCACTATGGAAAAAAAGATTTGGAGGATTTTATCAACCTAAAATTTTATGCACTGTGACATCTTGATAATGAATAATTTATGTATCCAAGGATGTAAGTTGCTTTTTAAATTTTGGTGAGGATAGTATTTCTTTTCTAAAAAGGGATGAGGCATAAAGATTAAAAATGGCAGTTAAAAGCTGATTTTGCATTGCTTGCATTTTGACTTGTTTTAATTTTGATATAGTTTTCTGCTTTTTATACTGTAGTGTGCAGCAGTTGAAGCAGTTAATTAATTTTCTGTAGCTTTCTGTGTTTTTTTCCCTTTTAAAAAGTCAAATACTCTATTTTCCCCTTAGGTTTTTATGCAAAGACTTAAATACCTCTTAGTGGTATAATTTTTTAATAGAAAAAAAAGTCATGTTATGAAATTCTTTGGTGCATTTAGTTGAAGCAGATCACACTTATCCTTGAAGGTGTCTGTCTTTAATTTTACTAGAGGGTTTAGATGGGTTTATGTTTTTAGATTCTATTTGGTGTTGGCCTATTTCTGTTTCTGAGGAGTTGCATGTCCAACATCTAAACAAATTGGATAGACTATTATTTTTGTGGAGAACTGTACCACTTATCACTTCTTTGGGATTGTGTAGTCTGCTTGGCTTCTTTCCTTTTTGGTGCCAGGTTGTTCATATTTTAGGAGTCTATTTATTTTCTCTTCGAACAGTTCATTGTGCTTTTCTCATACTTTGTTTTTTTCCTTATCTTTTAGCCCCCCTCTTGTAGGTTGGTTTTCCTTTTGTGTTGTACATGATATTTTTGTTAATGAATTTCTTTTAGAAAACAAATATACTTTTCTATGAATTATTATTCATCTACATCTTCAGTTAAGATTTAGGAGTATTTTTGAAGCTCTTTTTGTGTTCTTGTTTTATATATGTGTAACACACAATTAATTAATTTGTAGGTGCTGGAGAGGATGCTTCAATTTTATGAAGTAAATCGCTGCCGATGGAAGAAAATTGGAAAGTTGTTCTTATCATATCCTTTCATTGGGTTACTGAATGCTGCTGTAAGCTTCTTTTATTTATTTATTTATTTTTATCAATTTCATTATTGACTTTGAATATGTAGTTTAATGTTACCTCTTTTATGGCATGTTAGTTAGTTTTATGGTGTAACTGATATTTTAAATTTATCTCTAATCTCCTTTTTCAAATGTACTAAGCATAGTTTTAAAAACCGGACCGGTCATCGAACCGGTTAAGGTACTGGGTCAGTGGGTCAAAGGTTAAACCGGTGGGTCACTAGTTGAACCGCATGACTCAATTTTTATTTATTTTTATTAAAAAAATATTCATATTAAATATATTTTATACTTATAAATTTTAATAAATTGATATCTTATTTTAAATTTCAATTTTTCTATCTTATTTAAATTATTTTTACTTTTATTTTGTAAAAAAATAATAAAAAATTACATGTTAAATTGTATATTAATAAAAATTAAAAATATAAATAATATGTACATATATAACATGCTTGCAATTGATATCACAAAATAATATATGTAATATCTACATAGATATTATATTATTAAATATATAATTTAAAATTAATAATATACTATAAAAGTTATTTAAGTTGTATATATTACAAACAAATACATTAGAACAAGTAATCATTGTTAAGAGATTCAATTTTCATTATTATTTTTGTGGTTTATGGTCCCTTAAAAAAATTAAAAAAAAATAAGAAAAAAAAGTGGTTGAACCGGTTTGACCCACCAGTTTACTAGTTGGACCGAAAAATTGATCGGTTCAATCTGGTTTGAAACGGGTCGACTGCATAACCGATCCAACTTAAGATTCGGACCGGCTGGACCACCGGTTCCCTGTCCAACCGGTCCGACCGGCCGGTTCGATCCGGGTTTTAAATCACTGGTACTAAGTTGATGGTATTAAAAGAGGTCTCATTTTTGTTTGTTAATTCAGCTCCATCTTTATATTCCCGTCATGGTGAGCCAATATAAACTTGTTTCACACCCAGCCCAGTTAATGCTACCTTCACTTACTTTTCTTACAATTCTTTTGTAGCATTATTTTGTTTTCTTTATTTATTTGTAAATTTGATGAGACCATATAGTTCCACACTTTTTTGAAATATAGCAACTATTCAGGAAAAAGGTTCTATCCACTACGCACATGGGCATGGATATTGGCTCTTAATATGCCCCCCTTGTTTTTCCAGAAAAGAACAATATTAGCAAGTTACAAATTTTGGAGTGTTTTCCAAATCCTATTTACAACTTGTCAACATATTGCAAAGATGTATGTTATTTGTTCACTCTTCAATGCTTTAGGTTTCATCTATCAAATCTGGAATGAGGAACAACATCTATGATGCCTTCCAAGCTGTCATTGATAATGAATTAAGTAACTCACCGGCCAAGTGTTCCGAATATGAAACTATAGATGTTGGACCAAGCCAGGAAAATTTACCAGTCATAACAACGTGTAACATAGAAGATATGAAGTGTGAGTCTATTTTCCTTTAAATAAAGCTTGGCTGACTTGTTTTCTGCTTATCTTCTAATATAGGCAATCTTTTTTCTTTTATTCTTAAGTTTCCATTTTAAAAGATTTTAAGGTTAACTACATAGTGAAGCTGTTGCACAATTATTGCAATAAATTGCAATTGTAACCAAATACAGCTTAAACTGCTGAGTTACATACCTAATTTTATACTAGCATTATATGTTCATGATTTAAAATCTATTAGATGAGGCTTATTTTTTTTATTTTTCTTATTATATATATATGTGTGTGTGTGTGTCCGCTATCTTTTATACTATTGCTGACACTGTAGACTTTGTTATTGGATATCTCAGGTATTTCTTCTGATGATGTCATCAGTAAAATTGGAACCTATTTCGACCTTGACAATGATATTCATAGAAATAGTAACAAATCACTAGTGCAATGCAGAATTATGTTGTTGAGGAAGTTTTGCGGCTGTGGAAATTGGGTGGCTGAACAGTTTGGTGTGAATAACTTCGATTCTCTTGGTTATGGGGATTTCTTATCATTCCTTGAGAAGCATGTTAACCAGTTGCCTCATGAGCTACTGAAGTTGTTAGTTGGTGACACATGTAAAAATTCCTCTATCGAAGCATGCATGTCCTCAAACCAGTTGACTGCTCTAGTATCTCAGGCTCTTAGTAGTTTGTGGGAGAGTGAAACAGTAACCAAGCAAATGATATCCATGCTACTTATGAGGCAGTTCCCTTCAATTACTTTGGAAGTTGTGGAAAATGGCTCTCTTGTGGATCTGCTGGATACCGCTCAGGGGCATAAATCTAGCGTGACTTCAAAATGTGTTGTATTTTCTGCAACTATTATAGAAAAGAACTATAATGGAGAATTATTAAGTGATAGAGATAATAATTGCTCAGAAATCACAATTAATAGGTCTGAGATGAGCCATCAAAAGAGCACTGAAACTGTTATAGCAAAAAATGCAATTGAAGTATTGCTTAAGGCACCAATGTTGTCTGACTTGAGCAAGTGGTCTCATTGGGATATTAGGTTTGCACCCTTCCTAGGCCCACTTGTGTCATGGCTGTTGAGTGATGTAAACACCAAGGAATTGTTGTGTATAGTTACAAGGGATGGTAAGGTGATACGGATAGATCATTCTGCTACCTTGGATTCTTTTCTGGAGGCTGCAGTTCAAGGATCTTCTTTCCTAACTGCAGTGCATTTGCTGTCTCTGATCTCACTTGTTGGGGGAGAAAAATATGTTCCGTTGTCACTTCTAAAGTGTCATGCCTGTCATGCATTTGAAGTTATGTTCAGAAACTCTCTAGAAGAGGTTAAAGCTAAAGATGATGGGAATGCTCTCCACCAGTCTGTGGAAGCATTAAGTAAAACAAATATTTTAACTGAAAGTTTGACTTCTACAATGAGAAGTGAGTTTAGCAAACACATAAATAAAGTGAGTAAGGTAGTGTCCATTCTGTCAAGGTTTGTGCTTGATTGTCTAGGTAACCTACCGGCTGAATTTCATAGTTTTGCTTCTGATGTGTTGCTTTCTGGGATGCAATCTGTTTTCAAGGATGCTGCTTCAGCTATTTTATGTGAATGCAGCAATATGGAGCAACGTCTCATGCTTCATGAAGTAGGGCTATCTCTGGGTATTTCCGAGTGGATTAATGATTACCATGCACTTATTTCAAACAACACTTCTGACATTTGTTCTGCTGGTGTTTCATGCATAAAAGAGTCCAAAACTGATATACACACAAGTCTGAAGCATGACCAAAGGACCTTGGATAACTCTCCTATACCTGAAGCAAATATGGTTACATCTCTTGGAGCAAGTCAGCTTGTTGAGGGGTGTACAAAAACCACTCAAGCAGTTGATACAGAAAAATCTAATGATGAATTGAACACTGGCTTCCTGGGAAATTCATTTGAACATGGTGAAGATATGGATGCTGCTCTGGTTATTGAATCCATTAGGCGAGATGAATTTGGCCTAGATTCAAGTCTTTCTTATATTGATAGTTGCATGTTGAAGAAACAACATGCTCGGTTAGGGAGAGCACTGCATTGCCTTTCACAAGAGCTATATTCTCAAGATTCACATTTTATTCTTGAATTGGTGAGGATAATCCTTTATCTTTTTATCTTGTCATTAGGAATAAAGGAGTAATGGAGGATGTTTTGTGGTTTCCAGTAATTCCTTTTTCTTATTGTTCATAAATAGTGTACTGAAAAAATCTAAGGTGATGCTAAGCTTCAAAATTATTTCCTGATTGACAGATGAGTTTCATTTTTAACATTTTCTAAGAAATTGAATTGAGAAGGGGTAAATCTAATATAGATGTAAAACAGTGATTTTGAAAATGTTTCTAATATCTGATTGAATTTTAATTTTGGAGTATTTACAACATATTATCCAAACCATTGCTAAATTGTGTATTCTGTGTGAGAGTGAACAACTGAATGTGATTTTGTTAGAGGAATTCAGTTTAAATCTTCAGTGTCATTTTCACTGTTTATGTGCAGATGATAATAATAAATCAATGAATCATTTACATTTAACATCAATTTTTAACAGTGCAAAATTTGTCTATCTTGTTACTTAGTAAAGCTGTTGGTATCCCTGAGAGTCAATTCTGCATGTGTCTGATAATTGCTCCTTTTGGTTCAGGTTCAAAATGCAGATGACAATAACTATCCAGAGAATGTGGAACCAACTCTTACATTTATTCTTCAAGATTCTGGTATTGTTGTATTGAATAATGAGCGAGGGTTTTCTGCTCAAAATATGAGAGCACTTTGTGATGTTGGAAATTCAACAAAGAAAGGGTCTGTTGCTGGATAAATAGGAAAGAAAGGCATTGGTTTCAAGTCTGTGTTCCGGGTATGTTGAAAAGACATTTTTCTTTAGGTTCTCTTTAAAACAGCATTGTTTTATCCAGAGACTAAACTTTGATTTTGGTCCCCCAATATTATTTTTCCTGAATTTAGTCACTCAATTTTTTATTGTTACAGTGTAGTCCAATTTTTTTAATTGCTACTGTCGAGTCCCTCCACCAGTTTTCCTCTACCTAAAACTCATTATTTTTGTTCTAAAAGTTTCCTTGAATGAATCCCCATTAAATCATTTAAAACCATCTTCTGCTCAAGACTTTCTTCTTTGAAACCTTAACCTCAAACCAAGGTCTTTCAAATTTAATCAAAATTTCAGCTTTTAAACCTTTTATATCATTTTGTATCTCAAATCCATCCTAAAAAAGGACTTGATTGTAGCAATTAAAAAAATGAGGGACTAAATTCAAGTAAAAAAATTAATGAGGGACTAAAAATGCATTTAAGCCTTTTCCAAATATGATTGCTGAAAAACCAAAGGTATCTGGATATTGCAGAAGTTTAGTTGCCTCATCAGATCTAATACTGTTCTGAGTTATATCTTATAGGTTCTAGATTATCTGCTTTTTATTTTTGTAATTTTTCATTTGGTTTTTGCTTCTGTGTTTATCTTCATGCTCTTTCCTTTGCTGTATTATGCTTCTGTTAATATATTCTATCTGCAAGCAGTATATGATTCACTGCTTTTCCTTCAGTGCATTGCTTGCTAAAACGTAAATCATATATCATTATAAGGCATTCTTTGTTTTTCCCTCCTAGCATTGTTTGCTAAAATGTAATGAGTAATGTTACATGTACAACAAAAATTGTACAACAACTTGTACAATATAAATTTTGTGTTTTCCCTCTCTATCACTTCATTTATTATGGGGAGAGATATTATTAATGATGGAGAGAGATAGGCACAAATGTGATGTTGTACAAGTTGTAGAATTTTTGTTGTACATATAACATTACTCAAATGTAAATTGTATATGATTAGTGTAAGAAACATGCTTCAGACTGAGATGATGTGAACAATAGTTTGGAAATTGCTGATCAGGTTCTGCATTATAAATTGATGCAAATACAGTATGATATATGGCCATCCTTTGTTATTCTAGTTTTCTAAGTAAAACAGTTGATGTGGAAATAATGTCCTGCTTTGACTGTTTAATCCAGGTTCCATCTTTTGTAGTTTACTATTGAAAGCATCAAGTTAAAAAAGTTTTAGTATGCACACACAAACACACATGTACAGTACATCTATCATCAGCCTGTTTCAGCAAAATGGTACTTATGAATAAATATGAATTTGTTCATTATCAAATTAAAAGCTGACTTTTCTGTCATGTTCTCTTATTGAAATTTCCGCATAATAGGTAATATATTAAGAGTTATGTATGCAGTACATACCCAGTTAGAATTATGACAACAAATATGTTACTTCAATAAAATCCTTTTCTCACTAGGTGAGATCAGCTATAGTGGATCGCATGACGCCATTCGGCTTGGTTAAGACTTGTTAGAATTATGATATGAATTTATAATTTTATTTTCTATAGTACTTAAAATAGACAAAGTAATATAAATTAATTTAAATTTATTCCTTTGTTGCACTGGATCTCTGGTAACACACTAGTTCTATTAATTTTAGCATCTTATCATGGCAGGATTACTGTTTCCTACACCTATATTGATGACTTTATGCATTTTTCTTAACTAATTAAAATTTAATACAATTTTTGTATCTAGAAGTATCTTTTGTTTCTTCTTCTTTTGGCTTCTTTCCTTCCTGTATGCTTTTATCATATTTCTACTGCACCTTCTGTAATATCTGATAGGTTTATTTAGCTGACTTTTGGTCTTATTTTGGATTAATAGAAATGCTTTTGGGATTACATATTTTTTCCTTCACTGTATATATTTTCAGATAACAAGTTTCATTAACCCTGATTGTTTCCACTGCAGGTTACTGATGCTCCAGAAATTCATTCCAATGGTTTTCATGTTAAATTTGACATTAGTGAAGGCCAGATTGGTTTTGTTTTGCCCACAGTAGTACCTCCTTGTGACATTGGGCTGCTTAGGAGGATGGTATCTACTGATACTGATTCACATGATGATAATCCCTGGAACACATGCATTCTGCTTCCATTCAGATCGCATCTATCAGAAGGAATGGCCATGAACAGTGTCTTGACTTTGTTTTCTGATCTTCATCCTTCATTGTTACTATTTCTTCACCGCCTCAAGTGTATCAAATTGAGAAACTTTCTTAATGACACATTTATTGTTATGAAAAAGGAAATTTTAGGAGATGGTATCATTAAGGTTTCTCATGGGAAAGAGAAAATGGCGTGGTTTGTAGTGTCTCAAAAGCTGCAAACAAATTCCATTCGCTTTGATGTGCAGACAACTGAAATCTCTATGGCATTTACTCTGCAGGAATCAGAGGATGGTTACATTCCATGTTTAGATCAGCAGCCAGTTTTTGCATTTCTTCCTTTAAGAACATATGGCCTGAAGTTTATTCTTCAAGGTGATTTTGTTCTTCCTTCATCTAGAGAGGAAGTTGATGGAGATAGTCCATGGAACCAGTGGTTATTGTCAGAGTATCCTAATTTGTTTGTCCGAGCACAGAGAGAGTTTTGTGAACTTCCCTGTTTTAGAAGTGAGCCTGGAAAGGGATTGTCTGCTTTCATGAGTTTTGTTCCTTTAGTTGGGGAAGTGCATGGTTTTTTCTCCAGTCTTCCTCGCTTGATTATTTCTAAACTACGTATGATGAATTGCTTACTTGTGGAGGGTGACAATAATGAATGGGCCCCTCCGTGCAAGGTATTGAGAGGTTGGACAGAGGAGGTGTGTAATCTTATTCCTGATAGCATGCTTCTTGAACACCTTGGGCTTAGATACCTGGATAAAAATATAGTTTTGCCTGATGCATTAGCAGGGGCACTGGGCATTGAGGAGTTTGGGCCTAACATTCTTGTTAGAGTACTTTCATCTTTATGTCACACAAAGAGTGGTTTGATATCGATGGATATGAATTGGTTAGCTTCTTGTCTAAATACTCTTTATGTAACAATGTTCAATTCATCTGGGGCTATGTCAATCAATTATGAGATGAAAGAAGATATTCGAAAAATTCTTCAAAAAACGCCATTTATACCACTTTCAGATGGTACATACAGCTCAGTGGATGAAGGCACTATATGGTTGCAGTCCAATAATTTAAACATGGGGTTTGATGGTGACCATAAAATTGAAGCTTTCCCTAATATATGTGCTAAACTAAGGACTGTAAGTCCTTCCCTTTTTTCTCCATCTTCTGGTACTTCGAGCTTGAATGTGACTTTTTTGGACAATGTTACCCAGCTACTTCAGAGTATTGGTGTTCAACAATTGTCTGTACATGATGTTGTGAAGCTGCATATTTTACCTACATTATCTGATGAAACAATGGCTAACAGGAACAAAATATTGATGATAGAATATGTGTGTTTTGTAATGCTGCACCTGAATTCTACCTGTTCTGATTGTTTTATTGAAAGGGATCATATAATATCAGAGTTTAGATGTAAATCTTTGTTATTGACAAATTGTGGTTTCAAGTGTCCCGCTGAGATACCAATTCATTTCTCTGCTGGATTTGGGAATCCTGTCACTCCAAAAATGTTAGCTGATGGTGTGAATATGAGGTGGCATGAGGTTGACTTAAGCTATGTAAGCCATCCAGTAAATGAATCAGTTTCATCTGCACTGATGAAGTGGAGGGAATTTTTTGAGAAAATTGGCGTCACAGATTTTGCTCAAATAGTTCAGGTGGATAAGAGTGTTGCTGATATATGTGATGCCACATTTAAGCAGATGATGTGGGATAGGGGTCTAATTTCTGCTGAATCAATAGTCAAAGATTGGGAATCCCCAGAAATTGTGCAATTAGTTTCCTTGTTGTCTAAAAGTGGCAATCTAGAAAATTGTAAATATCTCTTGGAGGTTCTTGATACATTATGGGATGCTTGTTATAGTAATAAAACTACAGGTTCTTTCTATTTTAAATCTGGTGGAGACGGACATCCCTTCAAGTCTAACTTTATATGCAGCTTGTGTGATATCCAGTGGGTGGTTTCAACCATGGATGATGAGCTACACTATCCTAAAGATTTGTTTTATGATTGTGAAACAGTCCGGATGATCCTAGGAGATTTTGCACCATATGCTGTTCCAAAGGTTAGTTTTTTGGTACATTTATGTTATTCAGTGTGAGGATGTGAAAGCTGTCAGTCTACTATTTATGTTAGGTTAGTTAGGCTCTGTGACAGCTGTCACATTTAGTTGATTCATCTTGTGCATATGTATTCTATTGCAACAGAGCATAACCAAATGTATCGAGTAATATTCACATCATTAAAGCTTTGTTTTATTTCATGTATGTATTTTTTATTCAGTATGAATGGCGGTAGTGATTTTTTTAAGTTAATGATGTAATTGAAAATTGGGAAATGGGGTTTGTAATTGGGATTTTATAGATTAATTACTGTTATAGTTTATTTAATGGGGTCTTTTGTTATGTTATCTTTATGTTGTATTTGAATTAGTGTTTATTGATGTTTAAGACATTTGAATATTAAAGAAATTTTATTGTTTATTGATGTTTCAATGTGGTTCTAGTACCTCTGCTACATCAATGTGTCTGCGTATTTGGATTTTGAATAATGTGAGTGTTGGCTAAAAAAGAACAGTGACTATGGAACTTGATACTATTACGTCTTTTGCATTCAACAGGTGAAAAGTGAAAGATTGGTAAAAGATGTTGGGTTTAAGACTAGTGTTACTCTTGGTGACATTTTGGACGTTCTTAAAGCCTGGAGAAAATCAAAGTCACCACTCAAGGCGAGGTATGCACGTTCCTTTTCAGCCTTACATCCAAAATTTAACTTCAATTGTTTGAGTTATTGCCACACATTTCATCTAGGATGCCCATATATGAAATGGAAGATTGATAGCCATGAGAGATAAATTTTAAATTAATTGGACTCAACACTGTTTGCATACAACATGTGAAATTAGTATAAAATTAACATTACAAACACCAGATAATTAGAAAGGAATAAAATAGAATAATTTATCATGCATTTTCTGACTGCATTGGACAGATTTAAATAGCCCGCAACTGGGATGTCATGACCAGTTCTCTCAAAATGACCCAACAGTTAAAGCAGATCACGGAACCAAATACTCCATTAATGTGTGCATATGTGCAATCTAAATAAAACTAAAGTTATAACTCAACAAAAAATTGCAAAGATGTATCTGCTATTACAAGATGCATATATTAAGTTTCATTGAACATAATCCCATATAATTCATTTTTATTTACTTAATTTATATAAAAAAGGGGTTATTCTCTAATGTTTCTATTTTGTTACAAAATAAATTAATGCCACTTGACCAAAAAATATTATTTATATAAAATAAACATCAGCCTTATTTGCTACAAATAAATCACTGTCATGCCTTAGATGAAGATCTTGTCTGATAGTTTATCCAAAGGTTTTCTTCGATCTCTTGTTACCTTTAATTAATCATATTATCTTCCATTTGAATAACTTGTCACCAGAACTCATGTTTGGCTTTCCTTCCATGACCAAATCACTTTAGGTTAGTCTTTGTTATCTTTTTCCGTCAACAATTTGACTTCCAATTTTATTGTGTTCTTGCAACATTCAGTCTGTTCTTGGATTCTTAGACAAACCAAGTCTAATAAAGAGTTGGATTAAATTTCATTTTGTGAGCGAAAGTAAAAGCTCGGAAATTATAGTTCTGTTGGTAACATCAATCAGTCCAATTGAAACTCCTAAGGGGTTCTAGTCCTCATACGTATACTTTTTAAGACAGCAGAAATTATAATATAGGACTATGTTCCCAAGTACATTGATAACTCACAATTTTGTTTCCTTTTTATTGGACAAATTATACATTAATAAACAATATAAGATAAAGCCTGAAACAGTGGGGAGCCAGGAAAATAAATTGAAGTAATGTTTGGACTTGTGATGATTTTATTTTTAATTTAGTAGGAGTTTTTGTGCCAATGGATGTTAGGTAGGAAGAATAAAAAAAGAGAGTTGCTAAACACAGAAATTAGTAGCTGCCTATGCATTGACTATCTGTGATTCCTTCGCTTTCTTATCATTTTTAAATTACACTAGTTCTCTTACAAATAGTATGTTTTGATTTTGCCAGCATGACACAAATGACCAAATTGTATGCATTCATTTGGAAAGAAATGGCATCTTCAAAGAAGAAAACTATGGAAGATTTGGTGTCTGGACCTTTTATATTTATCCCATACTCGTCTGTCTATGATCATGATGATGCTGTATGTGGGACGTTTGTGTATCCCAATGAAGTCTATTGGCATGATTCAACTGGTTCTGTTCAGCAAATGGAGTTCCATCCTCAATGCAGCAGCTCATCTTATTCCCCTATAAACAAGTCATTATGCAATATTTACCCTAGTCTTCGTGGTTTCTTTGTTGATGAATGTCAAGTACAAGAGGCACCTCCTCTATGCAGCTATATTCAAATTTTGCTGCAGTTATCATCCGTCACTTTACCTTCACAAGCAGCAGATAAAGTAAGTTCTGAGATATAAATAACAAGTGATTTATATTACCTGAAATCTTCTTACCCTGTGCTCTCTTTCCAGATTTTCCAAGTTTTCCTCAAGTGGGCAGATGGACTAAAATCTGGTTTGCTGAGTGCTGAGGATATCACGTATCTGAAAGAATGTCTTTCGAAATTGGAATTTCCAGTGCTTCCCACTGTACAAGATAAGTGGGTTTCATTGCATCCTTCCTTTGGTCTTGTCTGCTGGTGCGATGATCAGAAGTTGAAAAAGGAATTTAAACATTCATATAACCTTGACTTTCTCTGTTTTGGTGAGTTGACTGAGGATGATAAGGAAAAGGTACAAGAAAAAATTTCCATCCTCATGAAATCCTTGGGTATTCCTGCTATCTCAGAGGTATGATCACTCATTCTCCTGTGCTCCTTTTTCATATTATTCTTGTAGTCTAGACACTTCTCAAATTTTGGTGTTAAATACATCTACTGATATCCTTGCGTATTTTGTGCTTTAATTTATGATTTTTTTTTCCTTAAATAGTGGGAATTATATTGGAGTGGCTTGGGTATGTATTAAGTTTCAAATATATTGACAGTTGTTAATCACAGCTATATTAATGGGTATCCTTCTTAATTACCTTTCATGTTGAGTTTTCTCTTTATGCCTTTTGAAGCTACCATCAACAATCAAAGGATATTCAACAGAAAATAAAGAAATTTATTGAGACTTTGAAATGAATTTTCCTTGGTCAGAAAATGAGAATAGGAGTACGGGCCATTGAATGAGCCAAATAAAATTGAACTGGATAGGATAGATTAGCCTATTTGGTATTATATATTGTTTGATGAACTCACTAGCTAGTATAAAATTTATCCAAATGGGGCTTTTATCAATAGTGTTTTCTCAAGTTTTATATTTATCTGGCTTGGAGGGTGTATGAAAAGAGAAACTAAAGATTATTTTGTTCCCAAAATTCCCTTCCATTGGTGTTGCCAACCTTTAGCTAAATTGCCACAGCCTTGGGTTTTAATTGAGAAGCAAGGGTATTTCTAAAAGGAAAAAAAAATTGTATTGTAGTTTTACATTTGTACAAAAGACTGGGGATTTGGTCCTGCACTTTAGCTAAATTGCCACAGGCATGTCTTTTGAGCACAACTTCAACCATTGATTTCCCAATTACTCTGCATATATCCTCTAGAGTAAGCCCAAACCAATAGGTGATGTTAAAAACATTATTTCGAGTTTATAGGTAGAATTGTTTTCATAAGATAGAATAAAAATTTCAAAGTTGTCCTATTGGACTCAGTTATTATTCAGTTGTCTTCTGTAATGTAAATACAATTTATTTAAAACTGATATTCATATAATTTTGAATGTTACACAATGCATTATGACTTTGTGCAGGTGGTAACTCGGGAACCAATATATTATGGTCTTGCTGATGGTACTTCGAAAAAGTCATTGATAAACTGGACTCTGCCATATGCTCAGCGCTACATTCATAAATTTCATATTGATAAATATGATCAACTCAAGCAGTCTGGTTTTGATATTTTCAATCATCTGAAAGTTATTGTTGTTGAGAAGCTGTTCTACAGGAATGTGATAAAGACTTGTGGCAGTGTTTCAAAAAAACGAGTTGAATGTAGTTGTCTTCTGCAGGTATGTTGGAATTCATACTTGTTATCTACAAGTTGCATTCCTTATTTGGATGTTTGATCTTGATAGAAACCGAAAACCAAACCTGATGGAAGTGTTCACTTGGATTCAAATAGAGTATTAAAGCAGACAACTTTTAGTTTGAATGACTTTTTTTTATTCACCTTGACCAGAGGTTTGAATTACAAGCTTGGATCAAATTTTCGGGTTAAATGAAAAGGCAATGGAAAACAGATTTTCATCAAACTTTTAATTATCTTTAATACTCAAAATGTGAACAAGTTCCATCCTTTTCTGGGGTGATACTTACTGTATACAATTTGATTCTCAATTTGTCATCAGTAATTCAAAATTTTTAGTATATCAGTACCGCAACATTGAAGTATGGTAGAGAGCATTGATGATTCTTTCTTTGCACAGATCACGCAATTGCTGTATCTTAAGCACAAGCATAAATTATAGTTTAGTTTCCTGTTTCAAGTCACGATTTTCATTGCAATAACATTTCTCTTCTGAGACTGTATTTATGTATGTTTTTACAGGGAGACATTTTGTACACCATTAAAGAATCAGATTATCATTCCTTGTTTATGGAGCTTTCTAATCTGTTACTAGATGGGACTTCGGAAGTACATTTTGCAAATTTCCTTCATATGATAACAACCATGACAGAATCTGGTTCCTCGGAGGAGCAAATAGAATTTTTCATTTTGAATAGCCAAAAAGTGCCAAAACTTCCAGATGAAGAACCTGTTTGGACATTATCTTCCGTATCTCCACTTGTAGAGGCTGACAACTTAAACCCTTCAGATGATGTCCCATCTGTAAATGATCAGATCTTTCCAAAAAGGAAGACTGGAGTATGCTCCAACTGGCCACCTGCTGATTGGAAAACTGCACCCGATTTCAATTATGCCCGTGCCAATGGTTTCAAGACCAGACCTGCCCGGATTAGCAGCTTTTCTGAAGTGAATAAGGATGATGATTCTGCTAGCATAATATCTCCACCAGTTTGTATTGAACAAGGATCAGTTACTGTTGACTGGAACATTAAAGAAGATCCACCAGCTGGTTCGGTGGCACTATTGTTGCATGAAAATGAAAGCTTGGAAGATCAATCTTGCCATGCTTTTGAGCCAACTGATTTTGGTATCCATGCTGACTGTGATCCTGTTAGTTTGGATGAATCTCATTTGAGCTCACCAGCTTTTGGCAAGAGAGATCGGCTACAGACTGGTACATTTGATGCAGCACAAGCAAGGGTGACTGGCAGATTAGGTGAATTTCTTGCATGCAAGTACTTTGTTGATAAATTTGGCAAGACTGCAGTAAGGTGGGTTAATGAAGTTAATGAAACTGGACTTCCATATGATTTAGTTATTGGGGAGGATAACAATAAAGAGTTCATAGAAGTTAAAGCGACCAGATCTCCAAGAAAAGACTGGTTCAACATATCAGTGAGAGAGTGGCAGCTTGCAAAAGACAGAGGCGAATCTTTTAGCATTGCTTTTGTGGCAATAATGGCAAATAATGTTGCGAGGATCACAATATTCAAAGATCCAGTGAAGTTATGCCAGCTAGGTGAGCTGCAATTGGCTGTTATGATGCCAAGACAACAACAGAAGCAATTCGCTGTTGTCTCATAGCTTCCCTTCTTGTTTTATATTTGGGCGTGAAGCCCATATATTTATGACTTTCAAAAAGCTACCTTTTGCATCCAGAGAAAAAATCCAATTCAATATCACACAATGTTAGATATGATGATCACGTAAGCTGTTGTACCCAAGATTTTCAAGCTAATTGGATACTTTATTCATTGTTGCATAGAACTAGAAGCAACTCCCAAGTAATTAGTGGGAATTCATCTGCTGCTTCTTATTCCTCAAGATTCAGTTATTTGTTGTATGTATATATATCTCCAGTAAAGGCTCCAGCATTTGCGCGTAACATTTTTTTGTTTATTAGCAAAGTCCATGGCTCAGAGCATGTAAATAAAAACTTGGTTAAATTTGGTTTGTAACATGATAGAAGCCCATTTGATTATCGATCATTTGTAGAGATGTAAAATTGCATGCTTCCCAATGTTTTTCTGCTTTGGTATTGTAGCACCTCAAACGCCTATGCCATCTAACTATTTGTGGTTAACATCATGTTTTTTTAAATAACTTAATGCCATTATGGTGATGGGTTCCATCATTTCTATTATTATGCGGTTCCAACCATTTCTACCATAATTGTCACGGAACGTGCTTTGATTGTTTATTCATTTTGGTTTCTTTACTCCTCTAAATAGTTTAGATCTAAATATAGTTATGGCAACTCTATTTCTCCTTACCTTTTGTCTCTTTTCTTGTAAAGTTATCAAATCGTACTTTTTTCTTTTTTATTTCGTAAACTCATTAATGATAAAAATCCATACTTCCCTTTATCTTTTTATCTGCTGAGCTAAATATTTAACCATTTGTGACACCTGACATGCATAGTGATATCTTATATTAGATTGTTTAGAAGTAAAAATAAGAATATGGTACGCTATCAAGTGTGGTAACCATCAAAAAGTAAATATTGTAGGCGAAATTTGTTCATTCTCAAGTAGGTAGCTACCCAATTAGTAATATGTCACGGATCATGATGTATAGTTGAATTTCGACTTTGGAGAATATCAGCTTGAAAAGCCTTTTTTCTTTATTTATAATAATGAAATGATAAAAATCAAATAAATATTTATAAATAAGTTAATAAATAAATTAAAAAATGTATTCTGTTGAATTTGGGAAGGTTACATTGTTTGAGAGATTTCTGAAGGGAGAATGCTAACATGGTCCTAAAGAGTAAAGTGATTTTTTTTATGAGAAAGTGTAACATTTAAATTGTTATCCATGCATCAATGACATTGTTTTCAATTCTTTATATCTATTAATATTTTAACTTGTATCTGTTGGATTTTTTAAAAAAGTGAGTGTTTGTTGTAAAAGTCGTTTGTCATTCTCAATGGTTTTTCTTTTATCCAACTAGGATTATTATAGAAACATTTTACATGAATAAGGTTGTTTTCAAATTATTTTTCATTTTGGGAGAGTGAACTAAAATTATTATGGAAGCATTTTTTTTTCTTTTGGTAAAAAATGGTTTATAAGGAAACACATTTGGTTGATGTCGGAGTGCCTGCAAGATTACCCTCAACGCATCCAACTCTAGCGTCACTTGATTATTTTAAAAATTTATTCAAGTGATGCTTTACACATTCAGGAATGATTTTTTATTAATTTTTTAAACTAGTATCACTTTCTCTCACTGAGGTACTAATTTATTTATTTTTTCTTTTTAATTGGGATTGATGTCTAGTAAAGGGGTATTTTTTTTTAAGTTACGTAGTTCACCATTGAGGCATTAATTTTATATATATTTTTTTAAATTGGTGTCACTATCCCCTATAATTAATATATATATATATATATATATATATATATATATATATAGGTTATGAGGGTTATGGTCTCAATAGGTGTTGAGTAAGAAACTTAGCAAGTGGCTAAGTATGGAACACCAATAGTAGGTGGTTGTGTTGTGTAGTCGAAAATCCAGTAGGTGGCTAGCGGTGTAATCAGAACAATTATTGCTAATTTAGTGAAAAATCTCACAAGGTTGTGTGAGAACTGGATAGAGCCTAAGTTGGGGTGAATATTGTGCAATCTCTCTAACTTTATCACCATCTCCTTATTTGTTGTAGTTATTTTAATGCCTTATATATATATATATGTTGCATAATCTATTTTTGCATGTTATTTATCTGAGTCATCAAATTTGAACAAGTGATAAAAAAAATGAGTTTTATACTTTTAACCATTGTTTATACTTTCAAGATAAAGTTTATTGCGAATTCTTTTTTTTCAAAACACCCAAAAATATATCATATTTAATATAAAAAATTTTCTTTAGACCACTAAAAATAACACCTTTGGGTCCTTTTGAAATTTCAATATAAATAAAAGTTACAATTTGATTTATAATATCCTAGTAATGTATCTATAAAATAAAAAAGAAAATTAATAACCAGATTAAAATTATAAATGATAATTAATTTTAAAGAAAATTATCATACTATTATCATTAGAAATATACATAAGATTCTTATGGTGTTGTAAACGAGTTATGCACAAGTTATATAAAGAGAAGTAGCTTAATAATACATCTATCATGCACTAAATATCATCATCATCACTCAATTCTATTGCTTCATATTTATTTCTTACTAAAAATAATATTATATAAATAATATGATTTGATCATCTTCAAGACAAAATTTACTGTGAATTCTTTTTTTTTTCTTCAAAACATCCAAAAATATACCACATTTAATATACATTCCTTCCTTAGACAATTAAATATAAAACTTTTTGGTCCTTCCAAAATTTTAATATAAATAAAAAATTACAATTTGATTTATAATATTCTAATAATGTACCTGTAAAATAAAACGAACAATAATAACCAAATTAAAATTATAAGTGATAATTAATTTTTTTAAAAATTATCATTCTATTACCACTTAGTCTTAGAAATAAAAATATATAAAATTCTTACGATGTTGTAAATAAGTTATGCAAAATTTATATAAAGAGAAGTAGTCTAATGATTCCTTCAATAGAGAACAACATTACCAATTAATAATATTTTTTTAAAAATGTCTCTCCTTATTAAACAGTGACACCTAACAAAAAAACATAGCCTCTCAACAAAGGATAATGACGCTACATAATTAAAAAAATATTGCATTTATAAAAAAAATATTATAATTTGAATATTTAAATTACACAACATTTTTAATTAATTTAATATAACAAAATAATATGTTTTTTAATTAATTTGTCACGCAACATGTGACGCTGCTAGAGAGATAGAGGCACACGCCTTACCTCATCTGTCCCGCAGCGTAAATGCTTCCGACATGTGAATGGACATTCTGTTTTATTTTATTATGCCTAATGCTATAATAATAATAATAATAATAATAATAATAATAATAATAATAATATCTCTTCATGAAAGACATCGTCACTAAATAAATTAAAAATAAAATAAAACAAGTCCCTTTATGGAAAATAGTGAAATTAAATAATAATAATAATAATAAATTAAGTTCTAATTTAAAAATAATGTCTCTCAATGATATAGAGCGTCACTTGAATAAATTTAAAAATAATCAAGTGACACTCGAATTATATGCTTGAACAAATTTAAAAATAATCAAGTGACACTTGAGTTATATATGTCAAAAATAATCTCTCAAAGAATTTCAACGTCAACAAATTAGTACACATGTCTCTTTATGAATCATAATTTATCCACACAAAAAAATGTGACATGATTATCAATTTTTTTAACAAAGTGAGAAATAGTTTGATAACAACTCCATTCATATAAAATATTTTCAGGTTAACCCAAGTTGGATAAAAAGACCATTCTCAATATGAACGGATAAAAGTGTTTTTACTATTCTCCGTTTGCTAGGAAGTACAAACACTTTCAATTAAAAAAAAAATGAAATACAAACAGTAACGAACATGGAAATATGTCGACATTTAAAAGTTGAGTTCAAAATATACTTTTCTTCCTATATTTTTTTTTAAAATTTTTAGTTAATACAGTTTTAAAATAATGATATTTTTATTTAAGATAATAATTTTAAATATTTTTTTAACTGATTCATAATGTAATTTTTTTTCTTCATTAGATTAACTTCTATGAAAATTATGAAACTCAACCAAAGTTTAAATTTTAAAAATTACTAAATATAGTAAAATTCGAGTAAAAATTTAATCTCAAACAATAAAAAAAAACTGATTAATATAGGATTCACTTTTCTCGCATTTTTGACTATGTTTATGATTTTTTTTATACATTAGTCTGGTTTTATAGTTTATAAATAAGTAAATCTAATGTCACAAATATTACTCAATAAAAAAAACTTTAAAATTGTGCTTTAAAATAAAGAACAATCAATATTTCATAAGAAAGATATTAATTCAAATTTAAAAATTTAAGAACTAAAACAATGTTTTCTAATAAAATAAAAGATAAAAATATATTTAAGCTTAAAATTTATAATAAAAAAAATAGGACATTATTATAATATATATCAAATTAATCTAGAGTAACCATAAAATAATTATTTTTTAATAAGATGAGAGAATTCATATTTTAAAGATAAGCACATGTCATGATAAACATAACAATTTTATCTAATAACTATTGTAGTACTTTAATTAGTGTTAGCATTAAAGTTTAAGAAACAAAAGTATGAAAATTATATAAAAGCAATTAAAAGTGTTGATGCAGTATTCGATTGTGATAGGCATCTGAAATGGTTATATGACATAGTCACTGGGGATGCCCTTACTACACATCCAAAAAGAGGCGTTACTTGTAAATTAGTAAGATGTTTAATTTTAGTATACAGGTAAAAAGACGTTTCATATCTCTTCTTTTTATTAAAACATGAAACAGTAGCAGTAACAATTTTCTTTTCTAAAAGTAGCTGTAACTATATGATGTCTAATAATAGTATAGTATACAATTGAAAATAGCAAACGACTCTGTACTTAGATAAATATACACAGTCATGGTCTCAACTTTTCTTATAAGAATGTTCTGTCTCTAGCATAAATTGAAAATAGATAAACAACCTCTAAAGATTATCTATGAGATTGAATGCTGTTATTTCGTCATGATCTATCATAAAATTTAGTTGATTAGTTGTTTTCTTTTCTGTCAAAAGTATGTTACCAATATAGCTAGCTATTGAATTGAGCCATCTTCCTTCAAATAAATACCTTTTTCTAAATTGGAATTCTATTATCATATCTCTCTTTGGTAACTTGGCATTGTCAACAAAGAATGAATATAAGTGTAAATGGGTCTTTATTATTGTCAATTGAAAGAATCAATCATGTGAAACTTAACATCTGCATTGTTGCTCCCCCCAACATTGTTTCGGATGGCTTATGGGGTGGCCATCTTAATGGAAGGACTCCAATGAAGTCTTCACTACCAGTGTTTGAGTTGCAAGTTCTTATGATTTTTGCTATCACCCAAATCTGGCATTTCTTCTTAAAGCGCTTTGACTTCCCTCAATTCATTCCACAAATGATAGTAAGTATTCTTCTTTTACATGTTTGAGCCTGAGCCTATATAAATTCAAATTTCCTTGTTCACATTGTCAATAATGTTTCTCATAAAAGTAGAGAACAAACTAAATTCAAATTTATAGGGGGGAAATGGAAAACATTTAAAAGGATTTTCCTTATCCACTACACATCATGGCCAAAAACCAATCCAAGATATATGACAAAAGTTGCTTGATAGATCGTAAAATAGTAGGTCATTATAGAGCATATAGTATCAGGTTTTTGACAAAATGAATTGACAAGTTTTTTGTTTTTACTCTTGGATACATTAGTGGTCCCCTATACCTGTGTTTTATCAACCCTAATAATTTGACATCACTTAGTCTGTCTCTCTCTCTGGGTGAGATCACTCAGAATATTTTTCAAATGTACTATGCAATGTAAAAGTCAAATAGGGAAAATTGATGTCATGTGATAATCTTATATTATATCCATATGCCAGTCTTGGATCTAGTTGAATCATTAAAATTTTGCCTTTTTTGTTTGGTGTTCAGAATTTTTCATACTTCATACTTGCCATTTCTGCCAAACTACATGAGGGCCATGCCCTTATTAGAGACACATAGGAAGACTCATTAATTGTTTCATAACTTGTTTCCATTTGCAGGCTGGCCTGATTCTAGGTCCTGCTATTCGGGTAGACATGTTGGACAAATACAAAAAGATGTTGTTTCCATATCCAAGTCAGGACACACTTGCATCTATAACATCAATTGGTTATGCACTTTTCATCTTCACAAGTGGTGTGCAAATGGATTTGAGCATGATAACCAGGACAGGACACAGGGCATGGACCATTGCCATCCTTGGAATGACTGTGCCATTGCTAATTTGTATTCCAATCATAACCACCATCCATTTTGAGGATTTGCAAAATCAAATTGGAATTCCTCTTTATAATGTTTCTCCTATAGTGCTATCAGAAGTTGTTATTTCATTTGCAGTGGTTGCTTCCCTCCTCAGTGAACTTAAAATCCTTAACTCTGAACTTGGCAGGTTAGCATTATCCTCGGTGTTGGTAAGTGACATATTGAGCAAAACCATTTCATGTGTTAACAATGCCTTTCTGGATAAAGAAGGACATCATAATATTTTAGTACTCTTGATATCATTGGTTGCCTTTGGCACCTTTATTCCACTAATTTTTCGGCCAGCAATGTTTTGGATCATCAAACATACTCCAGAAGGAAGGCCTGTGGATGATGGCTATGTCTATCTTATCATCACAATGGTCTTTGCATTAGGTTGGATTGCAGTTAAAATAAATCAAGAGTTCATCCTAGGAGCTTTTATTTTGGGGTTGGCTGTGCCAGAAGGACCTCCATTAGGATCTTCATTGGTCAAGAAGCTTCAGTTCTTTGGTAACAGTTTATTGTTGCCAATATTTGTGACTTGTGGTGTGATGAAGGCAGATTTTTCCTTGCACCACTCATCAAAAGCAGTTGTAGTCATTGGTATCATCATTCTTGTCACTCATCTCATCAAACTAATAGCATGCATTATACCTGCCCTCTTTTGCAAGATTCCCTTGAAAGATGCCTTGGCTCTAGCCCTCATTTTGAACGTTAAAGGCGTAGTGGATGTTGGCGCCTACGGTCTCTTATATGATGATGGGGTAATATATTCACTTCCATCTTAACTTCTCTTTCAATGACATCAAGGGTAAATTATACTTATAATTTCACACTTTCTCAACTTCTTTCCCTACATTATTTTTTGTACCCCTATATTTTTTTATCATTGAACTTTCCTTGTCCCTTTTTTCCTTACTCTATCTAAAGTAGAGTTGTCAAAACGGGTCAGCCCGGTCCATTTGACCCGGCTCACCTCAACCCACTTTTTAAGTGGGCCGAGCCGGCCCGGCCTACCAAATTTATTATACAAATTTTTCTAGCTCGGCCCGGCCTACCATGGGTTGGTGGGCTAAATGGGCCGCCCACCAACCCACCTGATTTTTTAAAAAAAATTATAATTTAAAATAAATTTTAATATAAATTAATCTCTAATCTAAAGTAAAAATTATCAAACTAAGTATCATAGATACAACATTAAACTTAAGTTAAAGTGTGCAATTAAAAAATTAAAACAAAAAAAATAAAAATTCTTTCATGAGAGTGATTATTCATCGATATTAAATTTTATTGGAAGTTTGGGTAGATAAATTTATAGCAATTTCATATTATTTAACATTGATTTTATCTTTATTTATAAAAAAATGATATCTTATTAATATAATGTATATATAATAATAAATAGTTAAGTGAGTTGTTAGTAGGTTAAGTTGATGGGTTGGTAAGTGGGTTAGGTGGGCAGCCCAGCCCACCACTGGTTCAACCCGAGTGGGCCGGGTCGAAAGTAAGCTTGGTCACATTTTTTGACCCATCATAAATTTTTTCATTTTTTTGGTCTGGCCCGGCCTGTTTTCAAGGTGGGTCAGGTTCACTTACGGGTTGGAGCCCACTTTGACACCTTTAATCTACGGTCTTAGCTCAATAGTCACAGTTTTAACCCTGGTTTAATAAAAAAAAGGTATAGAGGGTTTGGTTCTACAAAAAAATATGTTAGTAAGTTGAGAAAGTGCGAAACAACAAAGGATAAAATGTAATTTACCCTGAAACTGACCATAATCTTGAGGTTGAAAAGTCTTATTATTGCCCATGTTTAATGCAATATAAATTTCATTTATATGTGCATGCAGGTTATTAGTGGCCATAATTATGGAATCATGATAATCAGCATAATGATCACAGCATGCATAGTGAAATGGTCTGTGAAACTATTGTATGATCCATCAAGAAAATATGCTGGCTATCAGAAAAGGAACGTCATGAGTTTAAAATCAGACTCAGAGCTGAGAATACTTGCTTGCGTTCATAAACCATACCATATAACTGCTACAATAGATGTTCTTGATCTTTGTTGTCCAACAACAGAAAAACCCATCATTGTGGATGCATTGCATCTGATCGAGCTAATTGGCAGGACCTCTCCCATTTTCATTTCCCATCGCATTCAAAGAACGATTTCATCTGGTTCCCACCAGTCTTATTCAGATAATGTCATTCTTGCTTTTGATCTCTACGAGCATGACAATATTGGTGCAGTAACTGCACACGCTTACACAGCCATATCTCCACCCACCCTCATGCATGAAGATGTTTGCCAACTTGCATTGGACAAAGTAGCATCCATTATAATTCTTCCCTTCCATCGAAGATGGTCTATTGATGGTGGCATTGAATCTGATGACAAGAACATAAGGGCCTTAAATTGTAAGGTCCTAGATATAGCTCCATGCTCAGTTGGAATCCTCTTGAGCCGTTCTTCCATCCAAAGGGACTCATTCATTCAGGTAGCAATGATTTATTTGGGTGGAAAAGATGATAGAGAGGCTTTGAGCATAGCCAAACGAACAACGAGGAATTCGAGGGTGAAGTTGGTTGTGTACCACCTTGCTGCTAAGGAACACACACCAAACATAGATTATCTACTAGATCATGAGGCACTAAAAGATGTTAAGAAACCCAATCCTGGCACGGAAAATGTGAGTTATCACAAAGTTATAGTAGATGGTGGAGCAGAAACATCTGCTGTTCTTCGTCATATAGTAGATGAATATGACTTCTTCATAGTTGGGAGAAGACATGAGATAGAGTCAACTCAAACAGATGGCCTCGCAGTTTGGAGTGAATTTTCAGAGTTAGGTACCATTGGTGATTTGCTTGCTTCATCAGATTTTGGGAGCAGAGCGGGTGTTTTGGTGGTGCAGCAACAAGTGAAAGACACATAGTGGGTGGAAACTCTATCAGCCAGTAGAAGAAAGAAATGAAAACATAATGTACAAACAACATAGTTAACTTTTTTCACTTTTACACACTATAAATATTCTTGTGTTTGCCTATGTTGTATGGTTAGGTGCTTCTCTTTTTCTGCCACAGTTTAGCAATTTTTTTTCTTTCAAATTGGCCAATCTTTTTGTCAGAGTTGGTCAGTTTGATTTTATTATGTAAAGTTCTATAGTTTCAACAAAAAGAATGGAAAGTTCTTGAGTTGTGTCAAAATGACTAAGATGAAAATAACAGACAAAAAATATCCCTTGCTTGCAAGACTTGCGAACTCCTGAGCAAACAATAGTGTGTTTGTAAATTTGTCTACGTAACGCTTTCTTTACAAAAATAAGATTTAAATAGTAAATCTAGTGAACGAAATCACTGTTAGTTGCATGGATATCAACTCTTAAAAGACAACTTAAACCGTGTTTGGGGTAGGGGAATCAAAGGGAATTTGAGGAGAGGGGATGTATAATTGATTAGAAGGGAATTAATAAAAGTATTCTTGTTTGGCAGAGCTGAATTAAAAGAGATTTGAGATGAATAAATGGAAGAACACATGGTATCAGAATCACCCTTCTCGTAGAATTATCGATAATTACGTAAAAGATGTCACTCTCACTTCGTTAATGCATTATGCTCTCTGGTTAATGCATTATGTTGGCAGTATTATTCGACTATCTTACAAACTTAATGCAATATTAAGCATGAGTATGTCTAATCTTGCATGCTAATTTGACCTAACTCGAGGTTTATTTAGAAGGATTTCAACTTTAAAAATGAATTCAATGCATTTTTGTGATGGAATCGGATTATTTTTCAGATCGTCCAATCTTATTTATTTTATAATATTTTCTTAAAAAATATAAGTTTTATTAAATTATTGTGTATTAATAATAAAAATTTATTTAATTAATAATATTTTTTATAACTTGATATTATATTTATAATGAAATTATTTATTTTAAAAATATATTATAAAATATACCTTAATTTAAGGTTGGCAATTTTTTAATTTACAATTTAACTATACATAAATTAAAATTAAAAAGTGTATTAAAGATTGGTCGACTTGACCTAATCTTATATATTTTTGACATTGGTTGAGTTTAGGTTTAGATTTTAGAAAATGATTTAGACAAAAATACTAGGTCAAGTTTGAGCAAGGATAGACCTAACTCAACTCATATTCACCTTTATACGATGTGCAAGAAACCATCAAGTAGCATAATAGGTTATGTTAACGAGTATAATCAATCATGCTACTATATTATATTAATATATATATATATATATATATATATAGAAAGAGAGAGAAGTGATCCACTTGCTTCAAGAATAAATCTATTTAGACTTATTTTACTTAATAATTCATGTTTTACATCAAATTTCAATGATCTAACCGTTAAATTAAAAATTCTTAATGTATAAATCAAGTCTATAAATTTTAAAAATTTGAAAATTATTTGATATTCTCTTTCATTAATTCAATTTGAATTAATAAATAGAAGTATCGAATAGTTTTTAATTTTTTTCAAAAAATTACAAAATTAATCTATGCATTAAAAATTTTTATGTTAAAATTTGATGTAAAACATGAGTTATTGAATAAAATAAGTCAAAGTAAACTTACTCTTGAAATAAGTGAATCCCTTGTGTATATATATATAATCCCACTTCAATATAATGAGAGGGCTATAATAGTAATTATAGATATTATTTATTTTTACATGAAAATCTAACTTTATAAAATACAATTTTAAAATACCAACTTCTCATTTCTCACCTAATTTGATTCTTATCAAATTACAAATTTCACTTTATTTTCTATCAAGTCAATTCTCCTTTATTCTCTTCCATTCTTTTCCATTTCTCCCCCTCCACCGAACTAAGCTTTAGGCACTTCATTTTTTTTTCTGCCTATCGTCTTCCAGGAGTGATATGGGTACTACAAACTAACATTAAAAAACGGGTTTTGTTAACTTAAATAGGTTTAGGTTCAGTTCTGTGTAACTAACACAAGCTTCAAAATTGAAATGAGACTAGGGAATGTAGGAAAACACTTTACTTGGGTGGAAGCTAGAAACTTTTTTTTAAACGAAGATAGGAGCGGAAAAACAACATTAGCAGTTATTATTTCAAAGATGACTGTTGCCAAGGTATTGGAGTCACCTTTATGTCCACGGTTTATAAGGATTAGTTTCAAATAATATTCATTTTAGAAGAAAAAATCTTGAGACAAGTTTACACATATAATATAACTCTTCTGTTTATTCTCTTTTTTACTTTTAAGAAAAAAAAACTTGAGAAAATAACAAGGTCATCAAGACAATGGCATCACAACCATATTAACAAAAGAAATTGTATTTCTATCTAGTAACTAGTAACGTAAATTTGATGGTTGAGTACAATACTGATCAATCTTTACATGTCCTATGACTGCAATTTAACTAAAAGATGCTAAAAAATGTCGAACTTTTTTTTAACGAAATTAACTGTTTTGGAGCGGGGACCAGGACTGCGGGTGGTAGATCCAGCTCCCAAGAGTGAGTCCAAACCCAAGACTTCGTAATCACTGGATAATTATCGTCGAACTTAACTACTTAAGTCCTTATTTAGTAAAGAAAATCCTATTTATAACATCAACAGGTAAAGCATAAGCCGGATCTATCGGTTTCAGTCCTGGATATTCAAGAAGTGAAAGTCCTGCAAGGAAAAACACACAAACTTCAGCGTCCGTAGTTTATAGCGTAAAACAAGTGAATAAAAGCAATAGGCACTGTCAAGAATGGATAAATAGAGATGTCTCGCTAAGCTTCTCATTATAGACATTGAATTTGGAACATGATATGTTATCTGACCAGCACTAAAGGAGGGGGGGATGAGAGACAGAATCCTATGGAGAATAGGCAGGGAAGCTATATAATAACGAAAAGTACAACATCAAGTCTTATAATTCACATATATTAGATATGCTCTCTTAAGCCTTCCAAACAACTAAAATGAAAATAGAATCATGTTAAATATTCAGTTCTAATTAAGCATAGAAGCATGTTGGACTAATTAATCTTATCGGAACATGAAGCTAGCAACATAAATTCACAAGGTTTCATGAAGATTGGCTTTTCATCTCTCTTTGGAAACAGGTGACTGAATGAAGTCACCGGTCACTAGAGTTCCCAAAAATCAGATAATCATAATGCACGGAAAAGGGAGAGGTGGGGTAGTGTCAACCAAGGAAACCCCAGATGACAATTTTAGCACAACAAATGGAACCAAAAAAGGCAAAATGAAGGTACTCTACCAGCTACCCCAAAGAATGTATGAAAGACATCCACAGCATCATCTGGTCTGTCTGAAATTCCACCATTTTCTGTGTCCTAACAGTTTTAACATACATAATATTTCAGAAAACTAAAATGAAAATAGTTAATACTCCAAAATAAAATAAAATAAAACAAAAAAGAGTGTGCAAATTTATAAACACAAAAGACATTCAACTAACTAACCTGGCAGTCTAAAATAAACTTTATAAGCTTCTCCTTACTGATCCAATGTACCCTATCAATCATGGTCAGGCTAGAAAGAACCCACCATGAGTAGCAGACCTGAGATGATCTAAAACATATTAAGAGAATGGAGCATCTTCAAAAGCAGTAAATCTAAATTTGAAAAGATTCACTCACATCGGGAAGTTTCTCAGGACGTCCATTCAGACCTCCAGATTTAACCTGTCGCTCACATAGCCACCAACCAAGTAGGTCCTTGTCAACAAGATCTAGTGACCCCGTTATAGCAAGGGCCCCCACACAACAGAAAACTGACAAGAGGAAAAGCAAACAATTTACAAGGATGATTCCAGACTACAACCCATTTCATTCTTTGATTTGAAATTCAGAATAGAAAAAATCAAAAAGACTAAGCCAAGCATCCACTGGTTTATTATGCATTATTGTTACTAAAGATCCAGCAATCATAATACAGTTAATGAGTTCAACTTAAGCTTGATATAAAATAGCACAAATTCAATCTAAACATGAGTAAGTTTTAGCCACAAAAGAACAGAGGGAAAGTACATCAATTCTATCAGGAAAAATACCAAATTGTTGAATAATGTAAAGACTAGGTTACATAGCGATACTATTAGTTGAAATGTATTACACACCTGTATACTTCACCTGCATTCTCTTTCTAAATGGACATGTGCAATTATTTTAAATACAGTAACAAGGTAGGCCCAATTTCTAAAGTTCAGACAATTTTCTTTTCTGGTAGCAATGATTTCCTCATTAGTGATATTTTGTATTTCAAACACATACTTAATCTTTAAGTTTCCTTCAAGTCCAAATGGTCAAGTCTCAGCTTGAGATCCCAATCAAAGAGCATTTTCTTCAGTGTTATTAGTGGTGGTCTAATCATCATTCTTTAAAGGTATTTTGGCCCTATTTATTTAATATTTAATAGTCTGCCACCGCTAAATAGTGGCTTGAGGAGACAAGGTATTAGGAACTGTCCGGGCCTAACTCAACCTCAAAAGCTAGTTTAAAGGAGGATTCCAATTCTCATAAGGAGTACTATACCCATATTCCTAATCCTAGCCAATGTGGGACATCTAAACACACCCTCACACCCAAGACTGGACACATCTAAGCATGAAGTTTGCAGGTCATCTATGGGTGGCCTAACATTAAGACTGGATAGATTTTGATACTATATTAGAAATTGACTGAGCCTAACCCACTCCAAAAAATAACTCAAAGGAAGAGGATTGTTCCAGTCTTGTAAAGAGTAACTGGCAATTTCTAGCCAATGTGGGATATCCTAACACAAGGTAATGAGGAACATCAATCCAGTTCAAGTGATAAGGTAGATCACAGATGGCAATTGCAACTTGCAAACTCATATGGATAGAACAACTACTTCAAGAACAAAAATTTGAAGATGCAGGATATATGCAGCTGATATGTGGCATCAAACAGCACTACGCAGAGTGCATATGACCTCCAATCCAAATAAGCTAGAGGTTGAATTTCATTTCATCAAAAAGAAGATACTTTCTGCGCATACGCAGAGTGCGTAAGACTCTTTGCTTTGCTATTTAAAACAATTAGCTAGTAGACATTGTCATTTGTCACTAAATCTTCTAAAGTCCATTAAATATTCTAAAGTTCATTAAATTATATTTAATAGGTTTGCTGGATAGTATGCATGCCCAGCTTAGGGTGAGTGTTGGATAATAACAGTTGTACTGCAGTTTTCTTGTAACTGTACTTCCTTTGAAAATAGACCTGTAAAATTAGTATAAATACAACAATATAAGCCCAATATACTTGCATATGCCAATATAATGGGTTTTATTTCTTTCCCTCTCATTCTTTGCTGTCTACACAAACAATTCCTTTTTGTGAGCTGATCCTATCATATATTATTATTTGTCCTTTTGAGTTTGGTAGGCACTTCTACAATGATTCATTATTAGTTTTTTTTATGCAATTTTTCTTTTTTATACAATCCTCAATAAACTTTGTAGCATTCCCCAAATAAACCCTATCGTTAAATATCATATAAGAAATCAATTACAGAGGATCAACATTGCTACAATAGAGTTCCAAATTCTGAGTAGGCCTCCTATATATGCTATTTCAACTAAGTACTTCTATTAACCTCTTAAAGGTTAAAGGATTGTGCGATGCTCACATTTCACAATATTTAACTTATTAATTCATAAAATATTAACTAAAAATAAGATGATGAATTGATAACAATTTTAAATACTACATTTATTTCCGGTGTGCCCCAATCTCAAGATGTAAACTACAAGAAATGTTCTCTTGATCAAAATATTATCTTTAGCCCTCTCTTAGTGGGTTGTATAGGAGAAAAGATATTATTGTACCCATAACTTTTAGCAACATATTCAAATTTCAAACTATATCCTTCACCACATAAAGGATTCCCTTCATGTGGCAAAGAAGTAAACTACACAATCTCTGAAGGGAATAAAAATATTAGCACACAGATTGAGTATGTAATGTATAGAAAATAATAATTATGTAAAGACAATGAATAATTTATGACATACTTTGACCAGCATGAGATTCCCCACCAGGAGTGCAACCAAAACCACCATCCATATTTTTGCAACTTAAAATGTACTTCACAGCCTTCTCCACATCGATTTTATCCAAGCGATGTAATATTGATAGACAACAAATGGCAATATATGAGAACCTAAGACAAATAATTCAGTGGATTTTAGTTAAAAATACAGTAGGTTCTTACATGCTCAATACTCGAAAAGGATCTTAAGAAAAAATACCGTGTATCAACTTCACCCCACACATCCCCTGAAAAGGATCCATCTTCATTTTGCAGGCTGACAATATCTGACATAAATATTAAGGAACACAAGATCCGGTATACTTTGTAGTTTATTAAATTTCACTATTGTAATTCTAGTAACTAATCTATCAAACTGTACTGAAATTCATAATTTTTTTTATTGATCTTTCGAAGAAACATTTTGAGCCAATTAATCACAACATCAAAGTATGATAGTCAACTGAAGCTACATATTCTGATGAAAACAGAAATATACTGGTTAAAAAAATGCAAAGAGAAAAAAGCAGCTTCAATGAATTAAAATAAAATAAAACCATCTTATGAACCACAAAATGTTGGCGAGTACAGATTACAGGACCATCAAAGCCAGCCAATATGTAAGGATACAATTTGTCACCTTATCTACATCAATAACATCCAGCTTATCAAAGAGAGCCAACACCTGAACAGCACTTAGTGTATACAGGATGTGTGGGTCATGTCCAACATTTCCACCAAATCCCCCTTCATAACCACACATATCTCATAAGAAATTATCTATGAAAGATGTCTAAGATAATTCTATTTCTCAAAGTAAAACAAATAAAACATTGAACAACCTGACTCATGCAAACAACTCATCAACCATGAAACAACCTCATCAACATCCACAGTATCAAGCTTTCCTAGAAGATATAGAGCAGTCAATCCCCAGTATGCCCCATTCATTCTTAGGTGCTCCATAACCACAGATTCAAAGCTATCTTTCCTCTGCAGACCATAAAAGGATTGTGTAAAAAGAAAAATGAAGACATCCAACCTTTTCAGCAAAAAAGAAGAGTTTGCAAGTCATCCATGATACATCCACTGAAGACTATCTCTTCTTTTGAGAGAGAATGTATAAATGGGAAGCACACCTTTTCAACGGATAATATGTATTGAACATGCTTCTCAGTAGCCAGCTCTCCCATCTGGCAAGTAAACTAATCCATCAACAAAATTAAAAAGATTAGAATCAAAAGGTTTAAAATGCCTACCCAACACCTTAAGTTTTCTTAAGAATATGGGTTGGGGATGGTTTGCTACGTACATACAAAATTTGTAACTACTATGTAATTATGTTTTGTGCACAAAGACATCCATAATACAATGATTGATCTCTTTATGGTTCCAAAAAAGTATACAACACGTAAAAAACAAAAGTATCATGCCACTAGTTAAATTTTCATTAGTGGTCCATATTTGGTATTTCAACAAATAACAGTGATAAATGTTTTACGAGGGAAAGTTTCTTCTCCTTGAAGATAAAAAAATGAATCAGTTAGAATCAGTCAGGGATTAAGTGGAGGAAAACAGATTCGTGCCAATAATATATCATAAAAACGGTGTCACCTCTCAAATAAACTAACTAATGTCTTGAGAAAATTTAGCACAGAGAATGTGAAAGTCAGACTGATCATCAACTTAGTACGAGCACTGAGTCAGTGGATCAATGGTCACAATCACTAATCCAATCACATGACTCGATCTCTATTAAATTTTTTGAAAATATTCATGTCATACATATTTGATGCCTATAAAATTCATACCATACCTTAAAAAATTAGATCAACCAACAAATTTACAATTACAACATATTTACAGATCACACCATACCCATTAACAACCTACAATTAGAAGTTTACAACAAAGCAATTAACAGTCTACAATTACAAGTGAGCATTTAAAAACCTAAAGTTACAACAGGCAACTAATTTAGGCATTTAGAAATAATCAAATCAGTTAAAATGCGAAAATGAAATGACTAACCTACAAAGAGTTACAACACGTGCAAAGTAGAAGTGGGGAGTGCGCGAAACGATCTGTGGAGCGCTGATAGAGTTTCAGAGCCAAAAGGCACAGTGCGTGAGTGAGATGAGTCTCCTCAAGTGTACTCCTTCAAAAATTCTTCTTTTTCATTTTTAGAAATCGACGTCGTTTTGAACTTTAAAAATATAAATATTATAGTCAAAACAGTTTTCTACCAAAACATATATATATAAATGAACTGCAATATTTACTGTATTGATTTAAATATTAATATAGCTTTATGTAAAATGTTCTATACCCTAATAGAACATTTTATTTTGTAATTCAAAGGTATTAGTAATATTTCTCATGAAAATTATTCATCTTATTCTAGTATGTTTTTACTCTTAGATTATAATATTTTATGTATATTTACCTCTAATTTAGAAATTTATGCACATTGAATTTTTAAAAAAAATTATGCAATTTTGTGAGGATAAATTTATTCATGTATAAGTATTTATTTATAAATTTCTGACATTTTTATAAACAATTAATTTATGTGTAAAATATATTTATATTTATTGTTCTATATTTGATAATTTTTTTTATATGAAATATATATCTCCATGAGATATAAACATTCATAAATGAAATTATTCATATTGCTATAAAGTTTTATCTCTTTGTTGTGTGTAGTATATGAAGAAAGAAAAATATTTAGTAAATTCATAAATACGAAAACATACATAAAAGCATGATATTTATAAGATATTATTCCTTTTATTCATAATTTTGTGAAGGTCATGTAGCTGAAAAGAAAACATCTGTAATAAATTATTATCAATACAAATTGACATAAAAAAATCTTATAAAAAATATGTTAAAATGTGCATTTGGAGTAATTTAAATAATATGCTTTGTGTAAAATATTTAATAATCATGTAGTATATGTTACTTTATAATTTAAGTTTGAATATATATATATATATATATATATATATATATATTATTTTTGTAAGTAGTAATATGTCATCATATAAAATGTGTATTTGTGTCTAATGAGATTAATGTTCATGTTGATTTATAGTCTTATCTAAATTAATTTAGTTAACTTACTATTTTCTTTACTAAATGAGTTATAAAAGTTAGAATCGTAGATACCATAATGAAAGTTTTTCTAGTATAAACTTTTCTAATTGTTTTACAATGAGATTGGATTAGATTGATTTATATGTAAAAATGTAATAGAAGGAAATTTTCTTGATGTAAAAGAAAAGATAGTTTCTCCTTAGATAATTAACAAAATGAAAAGAGATTGCAATATGTAACTTGTGATACAGAAAATGGAGAATGGAGGTTTGAAACACTGAAAATAAAGCTAGGCACCAAAAATCCAAATTAAACAAATAGAACAAGAGAATGGGGAAGAAGAATAGACTATGGAGAATATAACACACAAAATGAGGGATGAGAGAATTTTTTAATTTTTTTTAATATTATGTGTCTTAAATTACTCTAATACCCTTACAAGCAAGTAATTAAAACATAAGGGAATGATGATTTTTTGTCCTAAAATTTTGGTGTTAATGTAGTCCAATTTAAAAAATGTGTAAGTATATTAACAATATATCCATATATGTGTGTGTACATGCAAGCAACTTTATTACTTATGTTATGAATAATAATTGGTGGCTTAATTAGTGGATGTCAATATTCATTATCAATCATTACCATTTATATTTTCGTTATGTATTATTGTCTTTATTGTGTAATGGTTCAATTACCACATGTATTTATAAATAGGTTAGTCATTTCTCAAATATAATACACAAGTGAGATTCAATTATCCATCTCATATTGTCTTATTTGTTCTCGCTATTTTACTTTCTTTTATAACAACTTATAAATATTTTGAAAAGATAACCTAAAATTTTTTATTGAAAGTAACACGTAACGGTACTTATGTCACTTGTTTGGCGATTATTGAAAGTGCCCCTTTTACATATTAAGATAATTTTTATGGTAATCATTTTGTAAGAGGATCAACAACATTTTTCTTGCTTTCCATGTAGTTACACAACTAAGATATCACAAATTTTAATTATGTTTCTAACAACATTATGTCTTAAAAGTATTTACATTCTCTTACTATTTCTTTCTTCTTCAGTTTTTTATTCATGAGAATTGAACACAAGTATCAAGGGAGTTTTCTTTTACTTGGATCACAAATTTCAACAATTTGTATAGGTTTTAAATGATAGGAATATGAGTAAAAGTAGCAATATCATTCACACAAGCTTGTTTGAATACAAATGAGTGAAGTTTTTTTTAGTAACTATGTCAATAAAGGTTCTTTATTACTCTTTGATCCTTATTATATGACACTTTTAATCGAATTACACATACCAACATAAGTATTTGTATTAATTTATTTTATAAAGTTTATAAAATAAAATTATTGTTTACCTTCCTTACTTGTTATTAAATTTTCACGAGAAAGGTGAAAAAATTACCAATACCAATAAAAATGACAAGTGACAATTAGAAAGTTTAAGAAGTGTGAGAGAAATACATTCTCACAACTTTTATTAAGGACAAAAAAATGAAAATGAAAATTATGTTCTAAATTGTAAAGTATTTTATAAAAAAGGACTACATCTATTCCTTTTAAATTATGTCTTATAATAACGATCAAAGTAAGTAATTAAAAGTGATGTTTAAATCATTAACTTTCACCAGCATTCAAGATGTGTTTAGTTAGTAAGAAATAAGTGAAAATAATTAAAAAAAAAATGAAAATGAGATTAATGAATAATGATGGATGAGAAATGTCACATGAAAAATAAAAAAGTGGTAACCCCACCACCTATTTTGCAGTTTTTTTTTTCAATTTTAAACTATTAAAAAGTGAATTGCTTTTTATATAATTTTTTAAAAATGTTCATGGCATTTTCAAGCTACCATAATTATTATATTTTCATCTTTTAATAAATACTAGTGGTTTTAAAAATGTGGCTAACTACTAAAATCAATTAAAAAAATTGTAACCGATACAACACTCACGCACATGGAACTTATGCAAAAATAAATTTGTTATAAAAAATTTGATTATAATATTTTTTTTTCTTTTTTATCTATTTCTTTCATATTTCTCCTAAATTTGGTCTATGAGAGTTACACAAGTTCCATTGCTCTCAGACAGATCTACAGGGGTCAAGCAAGAGCCCTAGCCTCCCCCTCTTTTAGAAAAAAATCAACGTATACATATATAAAATTATTTTATATTTTATTTATATCATATTATAGTATAGTATAAATATAATATGTTGCAGGTTTACATAAAAAATGGAAAGCTCTTTTGTACTTTTCTTTGATAGTTTTTATTTATATCTTATTTATAATATTTTGTAATTTAATTTTTATTTAATATTTATTATTAAACTTTTATTTCTTTCTGACCCCCATTTCAGTTTCCCTCGTCGGATATATCATTCCATGCAGACTAAGAATGCCTTTGCCTTCCAAAATATTTCAATTAAATTAAATAATTAAAATTTTATTTTATTTCTTATTTATTTCTATTAATCTAATTTTTTCTTTTTTATTCCTTTTTGTTTTTTTTTTCTTGCTACCAAACACATTCTTAATTTTTGTAAAAGTTTTGCAAAGAGCTTTTCCCTTTTTTTTTATTTATTTAATAAAGAGATATAACTCTTTTCTAATATATTAACCTCCCTTTATTTTAAAAACAAACTAACCTTTTTATTTTAACTATTCAAGACATGTGATTGTAATCTTTGTTTATATAGAAATGTCATTTGATATGTTTTTTTTTAATGAAATTAACTAATCATCGTGGATCTATAAAAATGGTTTAGGATTATGTTTAAGTTAAAATTTCTCATGACATAAATTCAACAACTCTTAGATCATTGAAACTTTACTTTGATGAACATACTTATTCAACGAGATCTCTTAACACTAAAGGTAGAATCTCTTTAGTGAACTTTTATTGATTCTCAGTTCAACAAGTAAAGTTATGGTTCAAACCGAGAACTATTGAAAAATACAAGAAAGATTTTAACTCCCAATCATATAGGAAACTAAAAAAGATTTAAAAATACAATCATAACTTTAACTCCCAATCAAGAAAGAATTTATCTATATCTATCATTCTATACGAAGGAGATACCTCCTTTTAATTTTCACATTCTTCTAGATATTTATATACCTCTAGTTTATAACCAAGATATGTTAACTGCGATATTATTTTAGTTAGTCTTTACACTTTTCCTACTATAAGTTAATAGGCAAGTGAATTATCCCACCTTATAATTAAAATATGTTATTCAAGGAGTTTTTGCAAAAAAATTACTTTTTGTAACTAATTTAATTTTTGTACTTAAAATAATTCATCATTTTCTCGATTAAAGATTCATATTGGACATCTAATAATCATGATTGAGTACTAAAAGACATTATCTATATAATAAAATGAAATTTCCATAAAATCTCATGATTCAATGCCTAAGAAGACATAATAACTGTGTAAAGTTTTCACCCAAAAACAACAAGAAGAATATATTTTTAAATGTTTTAATTTTGAATAAACGACTAAATTATTATTTTTAATGTACTTTTTCACAACAGGACAATTCTTGATATTATTTTTTTACGGCTAGCTCTTTATAATGTTAGAATACAACTTTATATATACAATTCAAAAAAAATATGTTAATTTATTACAATAATATATAAAAATCATTACAATATATTAAATTTAAGGCAATAAAAGTTAATTTGTGTATCCGGCAGTAGTTATGGATAATAATAAAAGAAAAGTAGCTATTTAGAATTAGGAGTTTAGGAGGGTTTAGTTTAGCCTAAAATGAAGTTGTGATGACTTGATGAGAACAGGCGAAGGAAGCGCAGCATAGAAGGAGTTGGTGAAGTGAGTGAGCAGTGAGCAGAGAAAAATGGGTTCGAAGGGGAAGAAGAAACACTCACAAAACGACGACATTCTGGAAACCCTAGGAGACTTCACGAGCAAAGAGAATTGGGACAAGTTCTTCACCCTCCGCAGCGACTCCTTCGAGTGGTACGCGGAATGGCCCAACCTCCGCGACCCTCTCCTCTCCCTCCTCCGCACACTCTCCTCCTCTCAGTCCCACCCTCTCCCCCTTCCGCTCCTCGTCCCCGCCTGCGGAAACTCCCGCCTCTCCGAACACCTCTACGACGCCGGCCACACCGCCATCACCAACGTCGACTTCTCCAAGGTCGTCATCTCCGACATGCTCCGCCGCAATGTCCGCGACCGTCCTCTCATGCGGTGGCGCGTCATGGACATCACCGCCATGCAGTTTGAGGACGAGAGCTTCAGTGCGGTTATTGACAAGGGTGGATTGGATGCGTTGATGGAGCCCGAGCTCGGCTCCAAATTGGGGAACCAGTACCTCTCCGAGGTAGCTTTCTGGTTTCTTAAATTTTGTAGGCTCTTGTTTCGATGAATCAGCTTCTCTGTATAAACACTTTAAAGAGAATAGAATAAGGAGGTTTACGTATGCACATTAGTATGTAAGGCGTGTTTGGAAAATCAGCACAAGCTTCTCCATAAGCTCATAAGCTAAAACTAGCTTAAATTAAAAATGAGATTTTGAAGTAAATAATAGGAGAGAGCTTCTATAAATTAGTTAATGCATAAGCTAATTTCAGCTAATGGAGAAATTTATTTTATTTTTCCTTTCTATTTTTCTTTCATAGAATTGTATCCGGAGAAATTTCCTCAAACATGTCCAAAGAACCTATAGAAGAAAATAGGAAGGTAAAATGAAATTAACTTCTATATACTAAAATTAGTTTCTCCATAGCAAAAGTTAATTTATGCTTAACTTTTCCGAAAGTTTATTTTAACTAATGCATAAAATAATTTTGGAGAAGTTAGACCAGATAGGTTCTATAAAGGTTGAGGTGCATAACTTAATTTGAACTTATGAGAGAAACTTGATGTATTTTACCTCCTTATTTTCTTCTGCTAAAAGTTCTGATGGACAACTAAGACAATTTTATAAGAACAGGGGTTTGAATAATATATGATATTGTGGATTGATTTTTTTGTATTCCTACCAACTTAGCCTTTTTTCCCGTCTTTCAGGTGAAGAGAGTTTTGAAGCCTGGGGGCAAGTTTGTGTGTCTTACCTTGGCTGAATCTCATGTACTAAGTAAGTTTGCTTAATTTTTTTGACCATGAATAATGAATTAAAGAAACACCTTTGATGTGTAGAGAATATAGTTGAAAACACTAACAAGTTGTGATGAGGTTTTTTGGACTGGTTATGTAGTGCTTGTTTCAAATGCTAAAGTTTTGTATTCATTTATTATAACTGGGAAGCTGTGTATCACACTAAGGGTGCGTTTGGTATGCAGAATGTTTTTATTTTCTCAGGAATCTGAAGTTGGGAATGTTAGCTTCCCGCGTTTGATTTATCATCTAAAAAATAGTATTCCTAGGAAGCATAGTTTCTCGAGAATGTTTTTTGTATAAGTTTCCCACCAAATTGTTCCCACGGGGAGCTAGCAATTTAGCATTCCTGAGTTAAAAGAAATATTATATTGCGGTTAAAATATTATATTACCTTAATTTTCTTAGTAAAAATATTATATTACCTTAATTTTCTTAGTTTTTTTTAAGCAAATTTTGCTTAGTTAATACAGTAAAAATCTACGATTCCCAAGTAATATTTATAAACATTTCCAAAAATATTTATAACTAATCAAACAAATTTAATCATTCAAGGATTTATGATTCCACGGTATCAAATTTTTTTCCTTCTATCAAACATCCCCTAATTGAATTTGGATAGGTTTTAGTGCTAGCATGTAGTTTGTTCTTACAAGCACCAGTCAACTCATTCTTTCCACTTCCTTTGTGTGTAATACTGAAAGATGCATGGAACGAGGTTCTTATGTAGTACCCACATTGTAAACTTTCCTTCATGTATTAACCATAAGAATCCTTGCTGAATGATACTTGGGAGATTTCATGTAGTACATACTTTCTAAACTCCTTTGAACATGAAGTTAGATTTTTTTTGGTGTTGGTTACCCTTGTAAACAAAACCCTTCCTATATCTTGTATGTCTAGCTAAAATGTAACATTCTATCCAGAAGCTATATTTTGTTATCTTAATTTTGATTTGAATTGATTATAGTGCACTTAGACAGGGTGTTACTCTGCATTGAAATGAAATGATTTGCTTGAACTGTTTTTGCATTTTATCTTTTTCATTTTTTGACGTGCTTGGTTTGGTATGGCTGGAGGATAAATATCAGTAATTCAAATTTTTCAGATATACTTTTCTCAAAGTTCCGACTTGGGTGGAAAATGAGTGTTGATGCCATACCTTTGAAGTCTTCTGGTAAACCTAGCCTTCAAACGTTTATGGTGGTTGCGGAGAAGGAGCTGTCTACTTTAGTGCATCAAATTACTTCATTGCTCCCTAATTCTTCACTTCATTCTAATTCAAAACAGGTAAATGTCTGGGCTATATACATTTTGTTCAGTTCTGGGCATAAGAGTTTCTTCAAATAAGGATTTATGGATGATTAATGATACATTTTTTAGTGATATAGATGTTATACTGTTGGGTGATAAATGTTATGGTTGTAGATGATTAAAGTTGTTGGGTTTATATCGGAAAGGAGAGATAGAGAGAAAAGGTTCTGAATGTTATTAGATTGAATTAATTTGATGTGTAAGATACAAAGTACTAATACATGTTTGTACAGAGAAATAGGTCAGGTACTCAATAATACTGCTAAGACAAGTCCAGATCACTAATAAAATGAGATTCCTAACCCTGATCACAATAGGAATAGGTTAGGAAGGAAACACAATAAAATTAGGGACAACTCCTGGGATTGCTCCTTAGTTAGAGCTTAGACGACTAATTAATCCTAGGCTAAATTGTACTTTTGGTTCATTATTATGTTTGTTAGATTTAGTATGGTCTTTTATTTGTTAAAATGTTCATTTTGGTCCTTTATCTAATATATTTGGATCAATTTTGTCCTTTTAAAACAATAATCATTTTCAAATTTGTAAAACAATTTTGAAACAATTTTTTTTTTACTGATTCAAGACCTGAAATTTGTAACATTAGAATCACCTATATAAAAACAATGGAATTCAATTGACGTTCAAATTCAAAAAAAGGCTATAAATATAGTAAAAATTGTGTGAAAAATATATTCCACGAGCAATTAGAAAATAATGTGAAATTAGAATTTTTTAAATTTTTTGTTGTGTTTTGGACTTATTCTTATGCGGTTTACAACATGTTTATGACATTTTCTGGTTTGAACTTCAATTATAGTCAATAGTTTTAATATAAGTGAATATAATGAGATAAATTTCAAGTTTTGAATCAGTGAAAAATTCATTCAAAATTTTGTGCCAAAATTGGAAACAACCATTGTTTCAAAAGGAATAAATCGATCCAAATTTAAGAGTTAAAGAACCAAAATGAATATTTTAAAAGATAAAGGACTAAAATGAATCTTAAAAATAAGATAAAAGACCAAAAGTATAATTTTGTCTTAATTCTATAATATGTGATGATATTTTAAAAATACTCTAAAGGTTTTCTAAGATGTTTTGCAGATATTCTATTTCTTAGTTATCTTTTATTATCTTCTGGTTATTTTTTCCCATCTGTGCAAGGTTTCTGGACTCCATGAAGCTCTTCAAAATGAGAATCAAATTCGTGAAAAATACTCCAGTGGTTCTGATATATTATATTCTGTGGATGATCTGCAAGAGGAGCTGCCAAAGCTTTCTCAAGGTCGGCGATTGCAGCTAACTTTGGGTGGACAAGGTTACTCTGCTTTTTCTTATAGAGCTGTAATTCTTGATGCTGAGGAACAGGCTGACCCATTTACGTATCACTGTGGGGTTTTCCTTGTGCCTAAGGTGTGTTTTTGAAGATATCCATCCCTTTTAGATTTTTGTTCATGCATTCCTTCTAAATTCATATTGAGAAAAGAAAATTATATAATCTATTGATTTTCAGAATGAATTGTGATCCTTCTCTTGAGATTCTTGCATAGTTTTTTTAACAAATGACTAAATGGGGAGTAGTTATTATCAGTAGATAAAGAACCATTGCCAATCTGCTTTTAACTAGAATCTGCTGCTGACAATGACTTTTGAAACTAGGAACAGTAATGGACAAGTATACTTTTTATTTTCAAATTTTCTGTATTTATAAATATATATATATA